AGTATGGAGCTCAAATGCTTTTTCTCTTGCGGGTTTATCACAAGGTGAGTTCTTTTTTTATTTCCTGCTTTTTAAAACACATGTGCTCTCCAGTACAGGTTAGCTCTGAATGTTAGCGAGGCTTGCTAATGTAAACAAAGACGAGATTACGTCCAAAACACGTCAGGCATTGTTTCTGATAGCAATTTTCTGTGGGTCCGGCAAATCTGTATCCGCTCGTTGTACTCCCATCTTTAAAAGATTTGGGTACGGAGGAAAAGAGAGAGGGTTTTATTTTCTGATGCTGCGTGGGTTCCCCGACGCACCGGGGACACATATTTATGTATAAAAGACATCACAAAGTGCATTTTGCATGATAGGTCCCCTTTAAAGCATAAAAAATAGGAAAATATAGCTTTGGTCAGGACCGACATTGATTAAAGATCCAACTTGATGAAAGTGAAAAGTACTTATAGATAATTGAATGGCATTCTTTTTTCCACAATCAGAGAAAATGTTTTTAATAGGGTTTAAATATGTACACACACTTATACAGTATGCACATGTCCACAGACCTGTGATAGTGAGATAGCCAGAGCTGTTGGCCTTTCCTCTGTCGTTCTCTGCAAAGCAGCTGTAGAGTCCTGCATCGTTTTCCGTGGAGTTCATGATCTCCAGAGTCCCATCCCACATGACGGAAATCCTGACCATGAACACAATGAATAAAGCTACGCAGCTTGCATGAATGAGACGATAGGTGATACTGGTAAATGAGGATTTACCTTGAGTTGTTGTAGAGGAGCTCCTTGCCCTTCATCCAGGTGAACTTAGCTCTAGGAGCAGCTCGGGGTTTACACTCGATCAGCACGCGGCCATCTTTAGCTCCGAGAAGCTGCCTCTTCACGGGGTTAAACTCGAACGTAGGAGCACACGCTGTGGGAAACCATAAGGTGTGAACTCTTGTTTAGTGCCCCAATTTCATGATAAATTGTGTGTTACAAATGTGCTTCCTGATATTAAATAATGAATGTAAGGTTTCCTCAAAGGTCTCACCGATGACCCTCAGCTCAGCGTTGGCGTATTTGATGCCCCAGTAGTTCTCAGCGAGACATTGGTACATTCCTGAGTCATCAAAGGTGAGACTGGAAAACTTCAACTCCCCTTTCCCATACTGGAAAACACACAGACACAACCCAAATGCTAAGTCAATACCATGTACTCTCAACTTCTTGACTAAATGACTGAACGTATAACTGTTCTCTGACCATGTATCCGTCTTTGTACCAGCGGATGAACGGGAAAGGCTTCCCTGACGCCACGCAGCGCATGGTGTGCTCCGAGCCGATGTCGATCTGAGTGTTGTTGATGGTTTCTGCCCACTCCGGAGCAGCTGAAGAAATTACAGGGATATAAAAGTGATAGATAAACCCAATATTCAAACGCATGCACAATATAGTCATTTTAAATGGTGACTGAAACTACTCAAGGTGTGCAATAGGGGGAAATGGGGAATATGTTATCAATGGTAGATACTTCAAATTCCAAATAAAGGTTTAAACAACAGTTAACCTTTGAAATACCTACTGGACGTACAGTATATTTGATATAGGATTATGAGACTGTTTAGATTAGCTAGCTAGCATTGAGTATAGGAAGAACATTTCGGTAGTTAACATATAGGGTATTTAAGAATAAATACTAAAATTAGCCAGAAGTTAAGTAAAAAGTTATTCTTTGCAACACATTGTGCTTAAACTGCTGACATAGCTTCCTTTTTTTATCTGCTCTTAGTTAAATTAAATTAACAAATCTTAACATCAACTGATATACAACTGCAGTGCTAGTAGTGAAGTTTTTTCTTTCATTTAGTTTTAATCTTAGTACAAATGTCCTTGTTTGATTTGATCATATTAAGTCATCCTTAATTATGAAATACTTAAGTGTGGGCATTTTAGTTTTCTCTTAGTCAAAGAAAACTGTTACTATTTTAGTTTAACAACAATTTGTGATTTTTTTTGTGTTTTTTAGTCATCAGGTTATATTTAACTATTCAGTCAATCTAGTCTAGCTAAAATATGACCTGGATTCCCAATCTTCTTTATTCTCTGATCAGTGTTGTTAACTTTTATTTAAGTAAAATGTTAGTCTCCAATATGCACATGAAAAAGGTTTATTGACCAACTCATTTAGTCATCATTTTGGTTAGGGTTAAATAATTAAAGAGGACATAGTATTCTCATTTCAGGTTCATATTTGTATTTTGTGTCTCCATGCTTTAATGTTCAAAAAGCTCTTTATTTGTCTCATACTGCCTGTGCTACAGCACCTCTTTTCACCCTCTGTCTGAAACCAGAGCCCAGTCTGCTCTGATTGGTTAACTGGCCAGCTCTGTTGTGATTGGTCAACGCCAACGACAATCACTTACACTCCACATACATCCAGTTCTTGTTCCAGTCCTTCCCTTTGGTGTTGATGGCTTCACACTCGTACCTCCCCACGTCCTCGTACTGCACGTTGTACAGGTGAAGCACGGCTCCTGATTCGCTGATCTCATGACTGGGCGGCAGGTCTGTGTGGTCCACCTTCCTCCAAACAATGTCAGGGATGGGGCTGAAAGGGGACACACAGAGGAAGTGAACAGGTGCCTACAGTATGTGCCAGTATATAAATATCTTGTAAGCCCTCAGAACTCATTATTTCAGTACATTGAGTAAACAGGAAACATACTTTCCCAGAGCGAAGCACTCCAAAGTAATATTAGAAGCCAGCATGGCAGTCGTTTCGGGAAACTTCACCCTGAGGTCTGCTGGGTATTTTCTCTCCTCACCTGAGTCAAAACATTTTTATTATTAACAAAATGTTCAAACGTGACGAGATAGTGTGCGGAGGTGGAATTTAATTAAGTACATTTTGAGGTACTACTTTATACTTCTACTCCATTACACCTAAGAGGATAAACAACACTTTTCACACCACATTTATTCGAGACTTGTCGTTACTTTTGACACAAATGCCGACATATTATAAACATATATGTATTTGTTAGTTTTAAAAACAGTATATTATAATATTCTTTAACCCTCCTATTGTCTTCGTTTTCCCCCCCTTACTTTGGTGTTCGCGGTCAAATTTGACCGGTCCTGTTAGAACTGATATTACATTAATAATGCAACACTTTTCAAATAACCCTTCTGCACTTTACTACATATAAATGGAGTATATTATCCATATACATCTTAAATAAGGTGCTAGTCAATCATACAGTCTCCTAGTATAAATGAAGGATACTGAAAGATAATAGCAACATTGTAGAGCGGCATTTAACGATTATTTTCATTATTTCCTAGAATTATCAACTGTTTGGTCAATAGATTGTCAGAATTTTTTTAAAGATCTCTTTAAACTCTCGTGTCTGCCTTCTGTCCCCAGAGTCAATACTAAATATAGCGTCAGTTTGTTATGCTCCATATATCTGGAAGAAGCTCAATTAAATGTCTTGTTTTATTAAGAACCAAAAGATATTTCGTTAGGGAAATCTAATGGCGTAAAAAGTAGAATATTTGCTCAAAGATGTGGTGGAAAAAAAATATAATGAAGCATTACATGGAAAAACTCAAGTGAAGTACAATTATGTTGAAGTAAGACATCAAATAATACAAGAAATGAACTTAGTTAGTGATTGTGTGCATGCAATTTTCTGTGATTGTTTTTGGCAGTTCATCATTTAACATAGGGATGAGGTTTATATTGTTTTCAGAGCTAGTATGTGCTCACCATCCTCGGGGGGTATGGGGATGAGGGGGATGAACTTGGAGAAGACGCTCTTCCCGGTGATGGGGCTGGACACGAAGCACGAGTAGTTTCCCGCATCCTGAGCTTCCACTTTGGAGATGTACAGGTTCCCGTTCTTCTGGGAGACGAAGCGGCGGCGGTCCGTGTACAGGAACACCGGGAACTCGTTGAAGATCCAGCGGTAGGTCACCTCCTCTGGAAGGGGAAACACAGAGGTTGTTATTGGTATCTCATCCCCAGAAAACTGGCTTTTCGAATTCAGGCATGAAGAAATGAACGTACGTGGCCAGACTTTGGGGGGGACACACAGCAGGACGACCCCCTGTCCTTCGTTCACTTTAACCGGGTTTCTTTCCTCCTGGGGAAACTCCTCCACAACTACATGATACAGAGATAAGGAGAAATAAAAAAAACAGGAATTATGCGTTTTTTATTAGCAACCCCCCACTTTAAATGTTATTTTAGTCTTGTTTTATTTATTTTATAGGTTTTAATCTTTTAATTGTAATTTTATGTTATATTTTATATTGTTGCATCGACTCTCTGTCAGAGGGAAACCATTATTTATTTTTATTATCATACATTTACCTCCTTGTGTCTATTAACCTGATGAAATGTTATATTTTGTTGCATGTACCCTTTAAAGTTCTTAAAAAATAATCTGAAGGGAATTTTTTGTTTGTTTTTAACTTGAGATGTGTCGCCATTTTGTAAAGCACTTTTAGCTGCACGTGTATGAAAAGTGCTATATAAATAAAGCTTTATTATTATTATTATTATTATAAAAAGGAATCAGACGATACAATTATTAGTATTAATGATATAATCTATTTAGAATTGTAAATGTATATTGTATGTATTGTATACCGGGCGGTGGTGGTGAAGTCCATAGGGACTTGGCTTGGCAACTGGAAGGTCACCAGTTCAAGTCCCGGAAAGACCAAGTGCTACCGAGGTGTCCCTGAGCAAGGCACTGTTCCCTACACTGCCCCCGGGCGCCGTACATAATGGCAGCCCACTGCTCCTAACACTAGGATGGGTCAAATGCAGAGAAACCGTTTTGTTACATAGTACCTGTACTACGTAACGACAATAAGTTGAATCTTTAATCTTCTTCAATGTAGACAAACATTTAGATGTACATTTTGGGGTTGGGATTAAATCAGTGTAAACTTCTTCCCACCCCTTTTCGGATGTGTAATTAGGTAGATCATTTGTTTATATAGCATTTGTAAGTCAATAATATGTTTGTTTATCAATTTGATTCTGCTTGAGTTTGTACAAAGTTTGTACACAGTATCATAATTTCTCTTTGTTTCATTTAATTTTTTTTTACTTATTGTTTTACATTTCGAAATCAAATCATTATGCCTGGACAAAGTCCCAGGGCGCTACATAATGGCAGCCACTGTTCCTAACACTAGGATGGGTCAAATGCCGAGAAACCGTTTTAATTACACCGCACCTGTACTACGATAAATATGACAATAATTGAATCTTATCTCAATCTTAATTTATGACAATCGTTAAGTTCTCTCAAATGGCCCCAGAAATATTCGGAAATCACTTTAGCTTATGTTTTGTTTTTATATGGAGATAGGCACTGGACCTTTATAACACAATGGTTTAACATGCTCACATCCAAACCTTGACCTGGCCTCCTTGCTGATGACGGTGCCGTGATGTTCCTGGCGGACGCAGATGTACGTCCGGCGTGTTTTGCTCTGTCTGGGTTGGTGACCACCAGGTTGCCCCGCACCAGGCTGTAGTGCCTCGTCGGCTGCTCCATCAGCTTGATCTCCCAGCTATCACGTGCGCCACCTAGCAGCAGGTCGGGAGAAAGGTTGAGATACTTAGTAAAATTGCAATACTAACGAGATGTAAAAACACACTCTGCCTAGATGTCACAGTCTCAAAAAAGTTGCCTAAGTGAAAGTGGCACAGCATAGCTTTTTAGCTTCAGAATCAAAGGTAAAAGTACTTTTTTTTACATATACCAATACGAATAAGCAAAGGACAGAACATACAGAATAAGAAAGGGCAGAAACATACTGTAATGCTCAATTTTCCGTTTTCTATTTTAAACATACCCACCCCATCCACCCAGCCTCGACCTCACGGTAAGAAACAAAATTAAGCACCACAAAACAAAATGCATAATTCTAAAGTAAATTGGTTTTGAATAATAATAAGGGAAAACTTTAAGCAATAATATTCGTTGACAATAAGAATAATATGAACCAAAAGGCTCCCATGTACTCTGATCTGTTAGGATAATATCCACAAGAGCTGTCTATGAAAGTTATTAAAGTTCCTGGGTACGAAAGGTATTCTTTATGCAAATCGAACAGACCATATTGTTGGGAGCTTTTAAATGTTGTCACGGGGGTATTTCCTATGGAGAATCTTTTTTCATTTTTATGATCAGATCATTTGTTACATTTTAAATGTGCGATGGCTGACTTCACTATATTGGTGGCCCATGACAACAGTTAGAGTTCAGTGCTGTAAAAGGTTGACAATATTTCCATTGGAGGAAATAAGTATAACGTTGGAGAAAAGGGAAGTTGTCCGGCTTAAATGCATGAGAGAAATGTGCTACTTTGATTGGAATGGTATTTTTGGGTGATCCAAGATAATTGTCCAACAGACATTGACCCACATGTGTCATACCGAGTACTTGTCGGTATAAACCACTGTTTAATCCTGTATGTTCAGTAAATATTTTTCATTGTGTTTAGACTCTGTATGAAGCAGGGGGTTTGCTCGGGGCCCTGCAGTTCATTGGAGATCCTGCCGTCAGGAGAGTCCTCAGAGTGGACAACACATCCACGGCCTGTACCGGGGGCTTCCGCACGTATCTGCCGGGGTATGGCCTAGCGGACCGCGGCCCTGAGAGTGCGGCCAGGGCCGGAAAATATTGCGGCTCCTCCTCAAAGATGGGGGTCCGTATCAAGTGCATCATCTGACAAGTGTACATAACAAATGAGCTGACACTCTGATTTAAAAGTCACCCTGAAACGTTTAAATCTTGTTTGCAATTACTCCGAGAAACTCACCTCCGTAAATTCTAGGGCTCGGTTAAATAGTACCGCCACTGCAAAGCAAGAGCATAAAGAAAGTCACCGTCAGCAACAGCCACTTGCTCTGTGGCACGAATAAAGGTTATTCTTGATTCTGTTCTTAAGGGGGTGGGTTTATTTCACCATGTGTGAGGGGAGACTTTTTGTATGAGGAGAGAGGCCAGGAGGTAGACAGCAGCAGCAGGCAGCCATGACGGTCAACAACAACTTAATGCCAGCAGCGTTTGATTTAGGGATGATGCAGAGGACGCAAAAGAGAGGAAGAAGATGACAGCGGCATGAACTGGTGAGAGGCCTGAGGAGACACAAAGATACATATTGTATGCTCAGAAACAAATCTATCATGAAAACACTCTGAAGAGTATAACAGGCGCCACACTGATGACTTGTGGCAGATTTTCCACAGATAAACACTGCAGATGGAATCTCCCTGCTGCAGATAAAAAATGTCGATGTGAGTGACCGCAGCAGAATACTGCACAAGTACATGCAGAGACATCAAGACCTCTGTGTTGTGTGTTGTGTGTGTGTGTGTGTTGTGACTTTGGGTGGGTGTGTGTGTGTGTGTGTGTCGCTGTGTGTCCTGTGTGTGTGTGGTGTAGCTGAACAACCACGCAGCCGGGACCACACTGCAGTACGTAGACAGTCCTGCTCGCGTGCGTCACACATGCTACAGCATCACTTCTGCAGGATGGAATAGCAGCGCTGCTGAGAGCGGCGGAGTGTTTCAGTTCTCTGTCAGGACAGCGGCCAACATGGAGAGAGATTTAGAGACATAGGGGTAGGGGAAGGAATATGGAGGTAGAAAGCAGGATGATTCCACGATGTGTGAGGAGGTTAACATGTGGGGGGGAAAAACGTGTGCCATCAATTTAATCCATCTATACATCCATCCATCCATCTTCTCCCGCCTTATCGTGTCGGGTCAGCGGAGCAGCAGTTCATAGCAGAGAGCCCCAAACTTTCCTTTCCCTGCTCACATAACCATCTCTGACTGGGGGGATCCCAAAGTGCGCCTCCACAGGCCAGCGAAGAGATACAAATCCCTCCACCTGGTCCTAGGGCCCTCGGTCTCTTCCCAGCTGGGACGTGCCAAGCTGGGAGGTGAGACGATCAAATACAGTTCAGTCTAAATTAGGCTATGCACAGATCCAGAGGGAAGGGCCAGAGGGTATGGACTCGAGGTCACATTTGACAACAAACTTCACCTAGACTCGAAGCTTTAAAATAATAACCCCTTCCCCATTCCTAACCCCATTTATTCGTATTCATTTTTAAGTTATAGCACCCAAATCCAATTAATTTCCCTCCACTTCCTGATTCAATCTACTGTGTAAAATAGTTATTCAAAGCCATCGTAAATGTGTTGAAGTTACTCAACCATATATTGAATGGAACTAACAATCAGCTGTTTAAGGGGATCCAAAAATAGATCATTTGGTGTATTTTACACTACATGTCTCTCTCCTATGATA